GAGAGAGAGAGAGAGAGAGAGAGAGAAGTTCGCTTGCAAAAGGGCAGTATCGCTATGAAGAAGCAAAAGAACGATGGACGAACGTGTGATTAATGGGGGATTTTGCTTCTTTCTATCGGGCGCGTGCCCTTTTGTTCCTGCATTTTACAAAACGGCCAGGCGTGCCGGTGGCAGTGATGAACGATGCGACGGAATTAATCTTCAACAGAGCGCGATATTCCAGTCCAATCAGCTTTTCCTTCATTGGCTCATTTCGCTGAAATACGCGGCGTAACGCGCGAATAATTGTCCGGCAAAAATTCGCGGAATCTTTGTCCTGTCGCTTTAGGATTTTTCCCTTCCAGCGCTTCTCGAGATTCGCGATTCGATTCGTGTTTAAAATTATTGGTACATTGCTTGTGCGAAATTCAAAGTTCACGCGTGTGATAAAACACTCGAGGTGAAGTGCTTATTAATATTAATAACGTTTAGCGAGTGAAACGATAATTAAGTGTTGCTTGAGCAAGGCGAGTAGCATAGAACAGAAATTAACAGAATTAAATTGGTAAAACTATAGATTACAGAACAAATTAGTAAATAATTAGCGCAACCGTTGATTACAAATGTATTTTTTATTTTAATACGAATAACTTCCGACGAGCTTGGAGTAATTTGATTTGATCGATCGATGAGAATGATTGGCTTACGTCTGTGATAAACTTGTGTGAAAGTTGAACTGAAGAAAATTCAAAATATAAATTCAATGTATAAAACTATGGATTGTGGATCTGGAAAATAGAAAGTCAACATTATACTTTTCTCCAACCGCCAATTAACATAAAAAAGCCACGAAACGAAGGAAGACGTGGAAACTTACACCACGTTTTTTTTCTTCTTTTTCTTTTTTTTTTTTTAGGTAGCTTTCGTATATTTTTACATATTTTCGCGCGTTTGAATTTCCAACGTGAATGCATAAACATCCGCAGTCTACAAATAAATTCGTTCGTTTATTATACTTTGCGAAATATAAAATTTTGCGAATTATAAAAATTTAACGTGATATTAATATCGAAGTATCAGTCACAATATTTAAAATTATTAAAAATACGTATATTGAAAGACGACTTGGCGATAGGAGGTAAAACATTATTTAATTCAATGGCGAAGGATAAATGATCGTTGATTGATAAGCTTGCATGAAATCAATGATCTTCGACGTTCTTCTTAATGAAATATGAACGAACCGATCACACAACACAATTTGACAAGTTGGTCGTGAGTTGCAAGTTACTATGACCAATCCTGTTGCGTAACAGTGACACGTGCAAAACTTGAGTTGATTTTACAAATTACAAGACAACACGTGAGATTATACACGCGATTACGTGTAACAGAAATTTGTAATCTGAATCATCGTCACTCGTTCGGTTCACTGATATTATTAAATTATTACGCAAAAGAAGCCTTGATGAAGTTCCCATTATTTGTTACAACGTTAACTATATAACTGCCTTCTATTTTTTATTTTTCTTTTTTCTTTAATAGCCTTGAGCTATCTTTTTTATTCTCGGAGTCGCTTCTTTGGCGCTGGTATTATCGTTGAAGTTCTCTTCTCTTTTTCTTTTATTCCTTCTTCTTTTGCGGCTCTCTTGCGTTATATTTTGCCACAGGAATTCTTTCTTCCCTCGAAGAAGAACTGGATCAATAGAATTCCTCCTAAAATCTCGCCAGTAACGGGACTCGTGTCCCCGGATCTGGAGATGTTTCTAAGCCGCAATTTCATCACGGTAGAGAGCCTTTCTAGCAGAATGCTGCCGAATGGAAGCTCGTAGATGATTGATTCTGCAAA